ACCCAATTTACTTATCCATTCTCCGTTGGTGGTGAGGGAGTGAGCCAAGTGGAAAGAGGGGACAGCTAGTGCAAAGGTCCTGAGGTAGGAACATGTCTGATACAAGGAGATTCGTGTAGCTGGAGAAGAACAAGCAAGGTGGGGATATTGGGAGAAGAAATGAGAAGGGGGACAAGAAGCAGATGGCGCAGAGTCTTATGGGCCACAGTAGGGATTTAGGCTTTTGCTCTGAGTGAGATGGAGCCATGGGAAGGTTCTGAGCAGGGGAGGGACTGGATCTGACTTGAGTACTCTGAGTCCCTCCAGCTGCAGGAGAGAAGAGACCCTGGGGGCAGGGGCAGGAGAGGGAGACAGGATGGAAACTATGGAGGGACCAGAAGTGTTTAGATTTAGGGGGTATTTTTCTGTATATGCTCAGTGATATATTGAATTTACTTTTAGCTTCTTAGTGATTCTACCGTTCCCATTTTTCTGTGCTTGTCTCCCTCTCATTGAAACTTTTCTGAAGTGGCTGCATTTTGTTTTGTTTTGTTTTGCTTTGTCTTGTGTTTTCTTCCTCTTTTTCTTCCTTCTACTAGTTCGAGATCTAGGCACCATTTCTATTTTTTTAGTAGTAATCCTCAAAATTTTACTACACACTCTTGTAAAAATCAGGTGTGAGCCCAGCCACTGTGGTTCAGTGGTTGAGCGTCGAACCACGCACCAAGAGGTCGCCAATTCGATTCCCAGTCAGGACACATGCCCAGTGGGGGAACATGCCAGGGACGACCAGTCGATGTTTTCTCTCATCGATGTTTCTATCTCTCTCTCCTTCTCCCTTACTCTCTCAAAAAGTCAATAAAGGAACAAAAATTAAAAAAAAAAAATCAGGTGTGGGCCCTGGCCAATTTGACTCAGCAGTTGAGCCTCGACCTGCGGACCAGAGTCCCGGGTTCGGTTCCCGCTAGGGGCACGTACCACAAAAAAGAAAGAAAGAAAGAAATCAGGGTGAAGTTTAATCCATAGTTGAACCATCATACCGAACACTACCTGGTTCTCAGAGCACTTGGTCTTCTTCTCAGTTCTGCTTACATTGAGATTCTTGTCCAGAATTGTACACCTCTCATTTCTTAAAAAAAAATAACTTTTTATTTGGAAATAACTTCAAATTTTTTTTAAAAGGCAAGACTAACATAGTACAAAGAACACACACTCCTCCACCCCCCTCACCTGCGGATAATTTTCCATTGCTTCTCAGATAGAGTGGAAGGGAGGGAGAAACATTGATGTGAGAGAGAGACATCAGTTGGCTGCCTTCCACACGGCCCTGGTTGGGGTCGGGGATGGGATTTGCAACCCAGGTACGTGCCCTTGCCCAGGAATTGAACCCACGACCCTTCTGTCCATAGGCTGATGCTCTAACCGCTGAGCCAAACCAGCTAGGGCAGAACACACACTTTTTGTTCAAATTTGATTGTTAACACTTTTACCCCATTTACTTTTTTATTTTCTCCCTCCTCCCCTCAATTTTTTCTTGTATCTTTTTTTTTTTTTTTACATCTTTATTGTTGAAATTTCCTGTACCTTTTGAGGCTGTTACATACACCATTTAATCCTAAATACCTCAGTGTGTATTTCTTAAGAATAAGGATATTCCCTTACATAATCCCAGTACAGTGACTAACTTTAGTAAATTTAACAGTACACAGAATTTTCCTAATCTACTATTGTATTCCAGTTTTGTCATTGATCCAATAAAGTTCTAATTTATAGCATAACTTTTCTTCCAATACAGCAAACCTAGGAGGCCCCTCCCCACCAGTCCAGCAACAGTCCCAGAGCTGACTCTCATTGGTCCAGCTTCCAGGAGATGGCCATCCCTGAACCTGCAAGAAAGGCACAAGGAAGGGAAGGGATTCATTCATTGGCCAGGCCTGGAGTCTTCCACAGGGGTCAGCCCCCTGGATTCAGAGTAAAGGAGGCCATTTTCCCAAAGAGAAAGAATGAGTGCTGGGCAGAAAAACAGCACGTGGTAAGGACCTGCATTATTTAGGACAGTGGTTTTCAAAGTGTGGTCCCCAGATCAGCAGCAACAGCAGCAACCTCTGGGAACTTATTTGAAATACAAGTTCTCCATCCCTTCTCCAGACTTTCTGTCTTTTCACAAGCCCTCCAGGTGATTTTGATGCCTTCGTTTTAGGATATAAGCTAAGTTGATATAACCAAGAGACTTAAACATATGATGACTTAAATAAAAAAGTTTACTCTCACATAATACTCCTGAGGTGAAATGATCCAGATTGGCAGTGTGGTGATGCAGAGACCCAAGCTCTTTCCACTACGACTCAGCTGTTCTGTAGGATTATTGTGAAGCAATCCCCAACTATAATATTATTTTATGTCGTGATTATTTTTGAATGGTTCAGAAAAGGACTCCAGAGCCAGAATGCCTAGGTTCGATCCAGACTCTGCCACTTAGTAGCTGTGTGATCTTGGGTAAGTTTCCTTACCTCTCTGTGCTTCTAGGAAAATGAAGATGATAATGATGCCCATTTCATAAGACTGAGGTGGGGATAAAATGAGGTGAGATGATCTATAAAGCAACATAGTTCCTGGCACATAGGAAGCACTATTTACTTTCTAGCGATAATGATGATGATGACGACGACGACGACGACAACTACAGCGATGACCTGTCTGCAGACCAAAGGCTAGAAGTGGCTGTCGGTGCTCGCTGATGACTGAGCATCAGCCACTAGAGGCACGCGGGCGGCTTGGGATGCGCCGGCGCGCGGTGACCGTCAGGGGGCGCTGCGGGGCTTGTCCCGCAAGCGCGGTGACCTCCTGGACTGTTTCCCTCAGGATATTCCAGAGGAGAACGCGTTGGTCCCCGCGCGTGCCAAGGGTCCTACAGCACCAGGGCTGGAGATTAATGCGGGGGATGGAGCCAGGCTAAAAGCTTGATCCTTGGCACACCCAGCAGATCCGGTGAGGGGCAAGAGGGATGTTTGGGATTCTCAAAACCCCTCCCCACCCCACTCCCAGGTTGCTTCAATTCGACCTCGGAGTTTTTCAGCACTGTTGACCACCTTGTCCCCATTCCTGGGACATTTATACAGCAAGGGGCTCATGGGATGCCCACCGGCTTCCCAGGTACAAGTGCTTGGGATATGGGAATATTTGGGAATTGCTAACAATGTTTGTGATTTCCTTCTATGAATGTCCAGAGCTTTTAGCAGATTTTCAAAGGGATCTAGAACCCGAGAGACTGTTCGGAACTCTACCTCTTCCTCCAGGAAGCCTTCCCTGATGTTCCCTCAGACTGGGTCAGGTGCTTCTCTGACCTTCCCCATCTGCCCCTGACCCTTCTGCTTGTGCCTCCCTATCTCAGCACAGATGATCATGTCTGATAATGTGTCTATGTTGCTCACTGAAGCTTCATGAAGGTGGTGACCAGGGATTTATTATGCACCAAAGATATCACCAACATTGTCCAACACAGGGACTGACAGCGGTTAGAGCGTCGGCCTGCGGTCCGGAGAGATCCGGGTTCGGTTCCTGCTAAGGGCACGTACCTCGGTTGCAGTTTGTCCCCAGCCCTGGTTGGGTCGTGTGGGTGGCAATCACTCAATGTATCCCTTTCACGTCGATGTTTCTCTCTCTCTCTCTCTCTCTCCCCCTCCCACTCTATCTGAATAAAAAAATGGAAAAATGTCCTCCGGTGAGGATAAAAAAAAAAAAAAAAGGAAAAGAACGAGGCCTAGCCATCTGCCCAACCCCAGGGCTCAGCATTTCCAGGGAAGCCCAGGGTTATGCTAACAATCACTGAACGCTTGCTATGTGCCCTGTGCAGTTCTAAGCACTTGATATAGGGGACAATTAATTTAAAAGCCACACCTGCAGACAAGGCACTATTAGCATAGCCCTCCACATGGCCCCAGGAGGGATGTGACTCCTCCTGAAGCTCTGGAGGTGCACAGGGGGTCCAGTCAAGAGGAGGCCCTGTCCCCCAGTTATACAACTTGAGTTGCACCTGGAAGATTAAAACTGGTGGCTCATGGGCCAGATATGACCCACAGGATGGTTATAAAAATATCATTATTTAAAATTGGGAGACTTCCCTCTCTGCTTTGCTCCAACTCTTAAGCAGGTTGAGTATCCTCACCTTTGTGCTGTGATTTTCTTATCCTCCACCTACCACCCTGTAACCTCATTCACCTGGTCTCATAAGCATTTGTATTTGAGAGCCTAACAGTAACAGGTGGGTGGAGAATGACGCAGGTAGTCGTTTGTTTTGTTCTGTTTCAGTGCCAAGGAGCCCCCAGTCCTGACCGTCCCCTGAACTTATGCCCATCAGGCTGTTTTATGTTCTTTTGGGTGGGTATGTATTTTGGACTCTCGACATGGCCAGGAAGTAGGCAGGGGCCCGGGGGGCTCCATGCTGGGTATTTTACCCTCACATGAAGCGCATTCCAGCCTCCACCAGGACTGCCACTTTCTGCCTTGTCAGGGCCCAGGCCTCAGTTTACCCCTCCATGTCCTAGAGTAGCTTTTGACTTCTTTGGGGAGCATGGGAAAATCTGGGGTACCCTCTAGCTGAGAAAAAGGGAGTGCCCTGCACAGAGGCTACCCCATCCCATTCCTTCCTGGGGCCTCACACAGGGAGGAGGAAGAGGCTCCGGAGAGATTTATTGGGAGGGTCAGTACTGCAGTTAAAAATCCAGAGGCAAGATCTACTCGAGATTAGAGAGAATGATACAGATCGGGAAAAGAGAAAGACACAGAAACAGAGACTAAAAGAGAATCAGGCAGAGAAAATGAAGCAGAAAGGAGACAGAGAAGAGAACAAAGAGAGAAACAGACATAGGAGAAAGACAGACTGAAAGACACAGATGGACTAAGCGACAGTGGCAGGGAAGTTAAGACACAGAGAGGAGTCAGGGGTGGGAAGAGGATGTTAATTTAGCGGCTGAAAGAACAAACTCTGGAACCAGACTGAGAAATATAGGCAGACAGAGGCAGAAGGTACAAAATAGGTGTTTTTTTAATTGAAAACTTTTATAAAAAGGAGCGGAAATATGAAGGGGGCCGTGGGCTAGGCCCGGGCCTGCGGCGTCGGTAGAGGGGCTGGGGGTGACGGGAGCAGTGAAGGGCATCCCCACTTCCATCGGTCGATCAGTCGTTCACCCTCTGGTCCGGCATCCCTATGCGCCTGCGCGCAAGCGGGCAGGCGTGAGAGCACCGCAGGAAGCCCGCGTGCGCAGGCGCGGGAAGGGCGGCGGGAGCTGCCCGGGCTCAGGCCCGAGGCCGGGCGGGCGCGCAGTGGTGCGGCTGGTGCGAGGGTGCGAATCCAGAGCGACAGATACAGCGGAAGGAGCCATCGGTGTTGACGCAGCGCGCGTTGATGCAGAGCGGAGCAGCCGCCTCGGCCTCATCACACTCGTTGATGTCTAGGGAAGGGGGTACAAGGGATGCTGCTACTCAGGGCTGGGAACTTAGGAGCTCGACTCCCTGTCTCCTGAGGGTCCTGGGGCAGAGTGGTTCGGGTGCAGAGCCTCCTGGTTGAGCTTGAACCATCTGCTGGCTGTGTGAGGTTGGACAGATGGCTTAACCTCTCTGTGCCTCAGCTTTCTGTAAGATGGGTATGATAGCCCCTAAGTCACTAACTAGTAGGAAAATAATACTGATGATATCAACAATAGTAAATGCTTACTTCAAACCAAACATGTTAAGCACATTACCTGCATTAAATGTATCCTCTTAATAACCCTATGAAGTAGGTTCTGTGATTCAGTTTTACATATGTGCAAACTGAGGCCCAGCGTGGGGAAGCCCCTTGTGACACAGTCCAGTGTCACACAGCAAGGTCACACTCTGCTCAGTAGGTTCTCAGACCAACTCTCAAAGGCTCTAAGTGCCCAGCCCCCTGCTATTTCTTGGCTGTGAGCCCTTGGGGAACTCAGTTCTCTTTTTGAGCCTCGGTTTACACATAGGCCTTAGTGTCATTGTAAATCGGTATTAATAATGTTAATTCTTTGAAATGGGTTCTATGACTACGGTCACTTCAAACGAGAAAAACCTAGCAAGGGACAGTGACATGGCCAGGTCACACAGCAAGTTGCTGGATTGAGTCTGAGGTCTCTCCAACTCCCCCAGAGCCCTGCATTACTGCTATCTAAACTAAGCAAACATGATTCATATGCCCACTTTACAAACAGGACGTCTGGAGCTCTCCAAAGAGGTCAAGCAAATTAACCCAAGGTAGCACTGGGAATCCTTAGCCATCACACCTGCAGGATCCTACCCTTCTACCCTGCTTCCAGCCCAGCCCCTGCTTTCCTCGAAGTCAGGTTGCTCCTTCTGGGCTGGCCCTTCCCCTTGACGTCTCTAAGCACCCATTTGTAGTCAGAGTTTCCACCCTCTCCCTGGGCACGCTGGCCCCAGCCAGCCCCTCACCGACGCAGGCCATGCGGGTCATGTCCAGGCGGTAGCCGTCGAAGCAGTCGCAAGTGAAGCCCTCTGGGACGCGCACGCAGCGGCCGTGAGCACAGCCCTCCAGGATCCCGCACTCCTCTGCCTCCAGCCCCTCGTAGGGGCCAGCCAGGGCGCCTGCGGAGAGGGCGGGGACTCCCTGATTCTGGGTCTGCTTCTCTCCCTCATTTCCCAAAGGCCTGGCCTGCCCCTGGCTCTAGATGTCCCTTTCTGAACGGCCCATCCCCAGGGGGCGCTGTGGGATCAGAAGGTGTATCTCGCTGTACTCTCCCTAGATTTCCCTCGGTCCGCAACCCTTTCTTGGTGGGTCTACAGGTGTCTCTGTTCTGACTGCATCAGTGTTTTCCCATCTTCTCTCCACCTGTCTCTCCCCACTGCTTCTTCGCTTCTGCGTCTCTCTCCTTCCCGCCTCCCTGTCTCCATATCTGCACAGCTCCCTCCTCGGAGTCCCCATCGGCCTGCAGTGCTCACCGGCATAGCCTCCACCTTCACGTGGTTCGTCAGGCTCTGGGAAGGAGCCACGAGTGTCACGGGACCGATAGCGCCAGCGGGTGCCCGGGCCGGGCGGAGCAGGAGCCTCAGATTCGCCATAGGGACCACCGTCATCCTCGAAGTCGGGCATGTCGAAGGGTGGCACCCCATAGGGGGCCTCTCGGCGGGCGAAGGGCCCAGGTGGTGGTGGGTAGGGGTCATAGGGTAGCACAGGTGGTGGGTACAGCTCAGGCCCATATGGAAGGCCCTGATAAGGTGGACCTAGGTCTGGACCATACTCGTAGGGGAGTCCAAAGCCACCTGGCCGCGGGGGACCATATGCAGGGGGGCGCAGCACATTGCACAGGGCCTCAAAGTCATCTGTAAATGAGGCAAGTCATCCTTTGCTTGCCTTGGACCCATTCATGCCCCCCCCCCCCCCATGGGAAGAATGGGAGGGTCTTGGACTGAGGGATGGAAGGTGCTTCAGAGGAGGGGACTGAGCCTGCAGGGTGGGGATCAGGGGTTCTGGAGCCAGAATGGAGGGGTCAAGGGCTGGGGTCAGGAGTAGTAAAGACTGCAGCTAGGAATTATGGTCCAATGTGCTAGCATTTGGGGGACTCATGGGGACTCAGACTAGGGACCTACAGATATGGGTTGCTGGTGTTTTAGGGACCAGGACTGAAAATTCCCAGAAACTGTTAATGGGGTTCTGAGGGGCCAGGATGCATGGGAGGGGATCTGAGCCACAGGACCTGGAGGTTTGAGGATGGAGTCTTTGGGCCTAGGACTGGGCTGGGTTCCCAAGGGCTGAAGATTGGGGGAATCAAGTATTTTAAGAGCCAAGGCCTAGGGATCTCTTAGGCACCCGCATATGGGTGTCCAAGGCACTGGAACCTGGAGGCCTGTGGGTTATGACCAGAGTCTGTGGGCCAGGATGGTGGGGTCTGAGCAACTGGTATTGGAGGTCTAAGGGTCCAGAATTTGGGAGAGAGGGTCTTGTGGGCTGTTCTGGGGTTCTGGAGACCAGAAGTTGAGGGTCTGATAGACCAGACCTCAGGGCCCAATGGGACTGAAACTATGGGACCTGCTGATAAGACTGGGAGGTCTTTGGGATGTGACTTGGGGACTAAGAGACCAAGATTTAGGGATGGGTTGGGACATAGGTGTCTGAGGGGCTGAGTTTGGGGAGATTTGGGAGTCTAACACTGGGTCTAAGACTAAGAATCCTAAGGGCCTGGATTTGGAGCCTGAGGGGCAGGGCCTCTGAGTGTGGCCCAGGCAAGTGGCAGTACCTGAGTCCTGGGCAGGGCAGAGGGCACAGTCCATGCCCCAGGCCTCCCCATAGAGGCAGCAGCACTCTGTGTAGGTGGCCTGGCGGTCCAGCCGAGGGCGACTGCACACGAGGTCAGCCCCTACTTCCTGCCAGCACACTCCCAGGTTGTCTTCTGAGGGCAGAGACAACATGCATCGGGGTGGGACCTACACTTAGATCCTCCCAAATGCTCAGCCTCCTCTCCTGCTGGAGCAGCCCAGCCACCTCTGCCTATCACCATATCCTTTTCATCCTCTGTGATCTGACTCCAGGAAGCCCTCTGAGGTAGTTCTAAGGTTCTGAATTGAGGACAGGTCTTGGTCAGGCATGAGGCTGTCATATGAGGAGAGAGCAGAGGGGTTCCAGTGGCTGGGAGATGGGGTCTGAGAGGTCTCTATCCATGCCTGGCCTCTGGAGGGCTGTGTGGCCTTGGGGAAGTTGCTTTTCCTTTCTGAGCATTGTTTGAATGAAATGTTTGGAGATGTTGTAGGAACAGAGGTGGGTCTGTGAGCAAAAAAAAAAAAAAAGAGAGAGAGAGAAAGAACCCAAAGAGATAGAGGCAAATACACCCAAACAGTCAGAGATTCAAAGAAAAACAGGTCAGCAAAGATGCAGAGAAACGGAAAGAAACAGACCTAGAAACAATCATAGTCCCAGAAAGTGTCACAGAGAGTCAGAGAAAAACCTAAAGACAGAAACCCAGAGAAAGATGGAAAAAGTCAGAGACACACAGGGAAATAACAGGGAGCATGCCTTTAGCACTTAGACCAGGTCCTGTTCTGTCCTTTAAAATAAAAATTTTCACAACCATCTCATAAGGTAGGGCTACTGCCAATGCACCCAAAGTGCACAGAGGAAGCCGGGACTCGAGGGCTGGGACTGCGTGGGCGGGACCGGGGCGGGGCGTAATCAGTTGGGCGGGGCTAGGCGAACTTGAGGCCGGGTTACCGAGACTCTGGCTCTCGTTGGAGACGCAGCGGCGCCGCGAGCCGTCCAGCACCAGTGGGGGCTCGCATGTGCAGTGATAAGAACCCACGGTGTTGACGCAGCGGCCCCCTTCACAAGCCGGCTCCTCGTCCGCGCACTCGTCATTATCTAGGGTGGCATTGGGGGGGTGGTTAAGCAGCAGCCCTCTACCCTTTCCCAGTTCCCCAGAGCACTGACAGTGATAGATGGAGTCTGGACTCCGGGAAGGATTTCCTACTGGTGGTGGCCACATTCCAGAGAGGGGCTGTCGTGGTGGAGGGGTGGGGAAAGTTCTTTGGGGATGGTGGAGGTGGGGCTCCTACCGATACACTCCAGGCGCTGGGCATGGTAGTAGTAGCCGTTGCTACAATAACACGAATAACCTGGGGCCGTGTTCACGCACACACCACTTTTGCACACCTGGTCTCGGAACAGCTGGCACTCGTCCACGTCTACGGGAAGGATGGGTCAGAGGGGCGGTCCCACTGAGAGATGGGTGCCCGCCAGGGTGTGGGGTGGGGGAATGGGGGGCGGGGTGAGTGTATGGCTGTGTGGCATGACCAGGGAGAGAGAGACAGAGAGATGGTGATAGACCCTGAGCTAGAGATAGGGAAAGATGGAGACAGAGCGACAGATGGGGGTGGAGTGGGTGGGAGGAGAGAGAAACAGGGTGAGAGGAAAATAAAGCAAAGACAGGGTGGGCGGGAGCTGGGCCTGGGGGCTGAGGGTAGGTGGGGTTTAAAGTCTAGTGTCACCTCTTCTGTGGCTGGGGTCTCCTCCAGGCGCCAAGTAGCCCCTGCCGTGGGGACACAGTGACTGGTACTCAGCTGCACACAGAGACGAAGATAAGCCCAGACTCCAGCATCCAGCCCCCCGCCCCCATTGCTCATTCCCACCTGTTTCCATGCTTACTCTGGCCCAGTGCCCACCCTTCACCGCCCAAGTCTTCAGCCTTCATGCCTGTTTGTGCCCACCTCTTCGCCTCATGCCCACTACCCAAACCTCAGCCCTGTTTCCACCCAGCAGCCCATGCCCACCTGTCTCAGTGCTCGGGCACTGCTGGATGCGGCAGCCACTGCCCCAGCCCTCGCCCACAGTGCAGCAGCACTCCTGCCAGGTCACATTCCGAGCCAGGATGTTGTCACAGGCGTCTGGAGCTGCTGTGTCAAAGTAGCACTCCCGGCGCCCACTGCCCACAGGTCCCTGCCGAGGTGGGCTGGGCCGGCGGGGCGGGGCTGGTGGGGGTGGCCTGGCAGGCAGACCAGGGCTGGCGGGTGCTTGGGGCTGCGGGCCTGGGAATGTGCCTGGGAGAAAAGAGGCTTGAGCCAGTGTGGGCTGAGCCTCCAGCCCTCGTGTTATAAACAGGGAAACTGAGGCCCAAAGGGCTCCCAGCCATTAATGGCCGAACTAGACTCCACTCTGTCATTGTCCCCTTCTCCTATTCTCACCTCCTGTCATTTCTGCACTTCTTGCCTCCCCACCTCATACTCTCCAGATGTCTGGCCCCCCATGGCAGCTGCAGTTTTCCTAGGAGAGGGGATTTCCCTGATCTCCTGGGTGCCTCCCTGGGTTCTCACATCCAACGTGTTCCAAACTGGCCTGGGAGTCTTTATCCCCAAATCTAGACCTGGGTCAGGCTACCTCTCCCCAATTCAGGCAGCCCGACAACTTGTCCACTTGGCCTCTTGAGTGTCCCCCCCACACACACACACCTCAGTGACAGCTGCCTTGATCCAGTCTTGTCCTCTCTGTCTGGTCCCTGCCCCAGCCTGCTGCCTAGTCTCCCAGCACCTAGGGTCACCTCCTCCAGCCCACCCTCCCATGGCAGCCAAAGGAGGTTTCAAAATCTTATTATACCTCCCTCCTGCTCAAAACCCTTCCATGGTGCCAGGGTAACCTCGGGACAAGTCTAGCCTTCTAACCACAATGAGTCAGTGTGACCTGGCACCAGCCTCCCTCTGTAACCTCTCTCCCAACTCCTTCCCTTGCTCGGTAAATCCTGCCTCCCTGAACTTACTTAGTTCCTCCAACATGCCAGGCTTTTGCCTCTGTCCTTGCCCTCTCTGCCCCAAATGCCACTTCACCCACTTCACCTGGCCCATTTCTAGTCATCCTACTGCTCTCAGTTCAGATACCGCCTCCTACAGAAAGCCCTCCGGACTCTTCTCTCAGGCTGGGGCAGGTACTTCCTCTGGAGTCTCAGAATCAATAGCCTTTCCTCAAGACAGGCTCGTTCCCTCTGGCCTGTGCTTCCTCATCCCAGCCCTGATTTCTCTGGGTTGTCACTATCTAGTGCGATCTCTGTCGGCCCCCACTGTACTGTGAGTCTCCTCAAGACAGAGTGATCTGCCCTGGTGGCCGCTGTGTCTCCAGTGCCCAGGATAGGGACTAAACACAGTGGAAGCCCTGTGAACATTTGTTGAATGAAGGAGTCTGGTAAACACAGCAGGACCAGGATCTAGTTCTCCTGACTCGGAATCCCACTACCCAGGTTAACCCATGAGTTCTGAAAATGTTTGTTGTTTAAAACAATGGCATTTAGCCCTGGCCGGTTTGGCTCAGTGGTTAGAGTGTCAGCCCACAGACCAGTGAGTCGCGGGTTCGATTCCGATCAAGGGCACGTACCTCGGTTTCGGTTCGTCCTCAGTCCTGGTAGGGTCATGCAGTTGGCAACCAGTCGATGTGGCTCTATCACATCGACGTTTCTCTCCCTCCCGCCCTCCTTCTCTCCCTCCCACTCTGTCTGATAATAAGTAGAGAAATATCCTCGGGTGAAGAATTACACACACACACACACACACAACAATGGCATTTAACTGATGGCAGCTGTCCACAACAAGAATGGTTAGACCACATCATTTTTCTGTGGGGCAATCAGCCATCAGTTAACTAGACACTGACATCAGTCTCACCAGCAGTCCGTGGGGGAACACAGCGTCCAGTCATGGGGTCAAACTCCTCAGGACCGGTGGGGCAGACACAGAGGAAGGAGCCCTCCACGTTCTCACACAGGGCAGTTCCACACACGCCCTGCAGTGTTTCACATTCATTCACATCTGTGAGCAGGAGACAACAGGGGAAAGGAAGTCAGTGCTGGCAAACTCTGATTCCAAAGGTCTCAAAGTCTGAGCTCTCAAATATAACGGGTATTTTTAATGGCCCAGCCCCCGTCATCAACTTCTCTTCTGATGACAAACCCTGAATTTCCCTTGGGAGCCCTCTGTTCCTCCATTTTCAGCCCATGTGTTCTGAGCTGGGTTACATCTACTCCTAGACATGAGAACAAGTCCCAGGCATAGCCAACCAGATTACTGCATTTCTCTGGTTCAGAGACAGGCAGTGCCTAAGCTGGGCCAATCAAAGCCAGTCCTGGGATTTTGGCCGGCAATATGGAGAAAGAACCTCCTTCTGTGGCTAGAGTTGCCAAGATGAGGATATTAGCTAAAGGTGCTAGGGCCATCTGTGTCACTGTGAAAAGAGAGTCTGCTTGAAAATAAATGCAATAGAGGAAAGCAGAGCTGAGCGAGGAAGGCAGGTAGCCTTGTTACAATTCCTGGATCCACCTGTGCCTGTAGATCAACTACATCCCAGTACTTCACAGTTGGAATTCCTTTTAGAGAAATATAGCCTGTTGTGTTGGCATCTGTCAAAACTTAGAGACTGTTTAATTAAGATTCATGTACTTCACTGTATGTAAATTGAACCGCAAGTGAAAATATCTGTGAACACATATTGAACTCTGGTTAATAATATGTATACTGAAGAATTTGGAAAGAAGTGTACTGATGCCTGTAATTTAATTTTAAATCTATCCAAAAAAATTTAGGTGTATTCATGGGTAAATAAAAAGAAGCAAGTATAAGAAAATAATAGAAGATAGGTCATACTATATGTTTAGAAAATATCTTCATAAAATGTTGGGAAGCTCTGGCCGAGTGGCTCATTTGGTTGGAGCATCATCCCATACACCACAAGGTGGCAGTTTCGATTCCCAGTTGGGGCTCATAGCTAGGTTGTGGGTTCAATCCCCAGTTGGGGTGTTTACGGGAGGCAACCTATACATGTTTCTCTCTCAAATCTCTCTCTCTCTCTGTGTCTTTCCATAAAAAAAAAAAAGTTGGAAAAATAAAGAATGTTTATATACATTTAAGGCTAGTGTTTTTGCATACTTCATGTATTTTTTTAGGCATCCCCCAAGTAAAATCTGAGTGAAGAGGGTTTCCTGAAGATCATCCTATATCCCAAGGTCTAAATTCCACACTCCCAAGGTTCACATCGTTCAAATCTATGGAGAGGGGCTGGGCCTGACCAACCTGTTCCCCACCCTCTGGTCCCACCCACCCCCTGGAGCCCCGTACCCACGCAGTGACGCCCGTCCCGCGCCCCCTCGTAGCCCTGGTCACAGAGGCACTGGAAGGAGCCAGGCAGGTTCTGGCATACGGCATGGGCCCCGCAGAAGGACCGGTTCCGGCATTCATCCACATCTGCAACCAACAGACAATCAGACCATTGCTGAGCCTTCTAGCTCCTCCACAGCTCACCCAATGCCCGATGGACACCCACCCTGGCATCCGCCCCCAGGCGTGGGCTGGTAGCCAGGGTCGCAGGCCGGCGTGCAGCGGTAGGAGCCAGGGGTGTTTTCACAGCGCTGGGCTCCGCAAATTGCTGGGCCATATTCTTGGCACTCGTCCACATCTGCAAGAGTGGGGACAGGGTGAGGGGGGGACAGGGGAGCCACAGGCCTGGAGTCCCAGGTTCCTGATGCCACTTCCAGTTCGCAAGACTGAGAAGTCTCCATGAATCTGGTCTTCCAGGAGTCTGAGCTTCTAAAGACTGACAGTGGTGATAACTGACTCCAAAGGCATCATTGCACAGCCCAGTCGTGGTCCCCCCTCAGGCTTTTGCACTTGCTGTGCCCTCTGTCAGGAACACCTTTCCCTCACCTATCTGCATGGCTTCCTCCTTCACTCAAGTATCCAGGTCAAGCCTTCCTAGCACCTGCTTGCCCACGGCCCTGTCATCTCTGTTCATTTATCCTGCTATATTTTCCTTCTTAAACTTGACATATTATAGCCACCACCCTCGAATGCAAACTCCACAACAGCAGGGACGTATGTCTGCCTTGTTCCCCACTGTCTTCCTAGGGCATAGAACAGTACCTAACAGACCGTAGGTGCCCCAAATTGTTTGCTGAGTTCTGAATTTACCTATTTATTGTCTGTCCTCCCTCCACATGTCATCTCTATGAAGGCAAGGATTTTGTTTGCCTTACTGCTGTTGCACCCCGAGTGTCTGGCACACAGCAGGTGCTTAGTGCATTCTTGAGGAGTTAGTGAATGAGAGCCCCTGAGGTTTCCATGAGTCAGAGGTCTGGCAACCAGAGAGCCAAAGGCAGCCCACAGTCATTTCATCTGTTCCACGAATTGATGACCCACACTCCATCCAAAACAATGTCTTCGATTAGTCCTAGCCTCCTGTCTCAGCCGGTACCCTGCTACAGCCTCTCTTTCCCTTCCTCCCACTCCAGCTGATGATAAATGGAAAAATATCCTCGGGTGAAGATTAAAAAAAAAAAAATTTCCCAAGGCCTTGAGAAGTCTAAAAAAAAAGCAAAGGACCGAATCTGGAGAGAAACAGCATTTTAAAGGGCGGAATTTAAGTGGGCAGGGGTTTCCCTGCCTGTGTGGCTCAGTGGACTGAGCACCATCCCAAGGATTGAGAGGTCCTCCAATTCCCGGTCCCGGCACATGCCCAGGTTGCGGTCCGGCACATGCCCAGGTTGCGGGCACCATCCCCAGTAGGGGGCGTGCAGGAGGCAGCCAATCAATGTTTCTCTCTCACATGGATGTTTCTCTCTCTCTCTCCCTAAAAAAATGTTTTTAAGTGAGCAGGGGTCAGTGCTTGGAGAAACCTGGGGAATTTCGCATTGGGAAATGATGGGGCCCAGAACAACTAAGGCTGGGCCTCTTTGGCGAGACAGTTAGAAGTAGAGCGAGTGGAGGAAGGTGGGCAGGTCCAAAGAGAAGGGGCCTGAAGAGGGAGAAAGAGAATTTTAATCTGATCGGAAAGGGGAAGCGAGGCTAACTGTTATGTTAGGAGACATCTTACTGGGATATCTCATCCGGCAGAAGGGCAGGGGCCACTTCTGGAAGCAAGGCTTGGCCTGGTACATGATAGTAGTGACTTCCCTCGACTTCTCACCCGGCCTCCACAAGAAAATACAAGGCACACTAACATTTTTAAAAATTAAAGTAATATTGAATGTCAGCTGTAATTGACAAATAAAAAAAATTTAAGAAAAAAAAAAAAGACACACTGGTGGCTTGTTTCTAGCATAGAGATGGGGAGAAAGTTAAGTGCATTGGTTGGGACCCCTTCCCTCCCCAAAAGTCCGCGAGGCGGGCAGTACCGGAAGGAACCAACTCCGGTAACAGGGGCAAGGGCAGTGGTCTCACCGTCGCAGGTGCCTTCAGGGCCCGCGTTGTAGCCGGGGTCGCAGTCGCGGACACAGCGGTAGGAGCCGGGGGAATTCTCGCAACGCTGGGAGCCGCACAGGGCCGGGCCCCGCTCGCGACATTCGTCCACATCTGAGGGGTGAGACAGGGCGATCAGATGAAAGCAGGGGAGGTAGCGAGGCAAAGAAGAAAAGATGGGGGAGTCGAGGGAAGATGACAGTCAGGAAGGGGAGGCGGGGACGCAGAGAGGAAGAGGGCAGAGGAGGGAGATGGGGAGGCAGGAGGGAGGAGGGATCAGGCCGCGGCGGGGCCTCTCACCAAGGCAGGAGGCGAGGTCTGGGCCGGCGCGGTGTCCCGGAGGACAGACGCACTCGAAGGAGCCGTCGGTGTTGGTACAGATGCCGCTCTGGCAGAGGTCCTCCTCGCTGCATTCGTCCACGTCTGCCGGATAGTGTCCAAAACCGGGCCCACCTCCTCCTCTGCTTAACCCCTCAGGCCACGTCCCTCCACCGCCCTCTCCCCGCCCCTCTGGCTCCAAGACCTTTAACACCTTCCCAGGCCTGTCTTAGGCTCCTCCCTTCCCTGCAAGCCCCACCCCCTCGACGCCAGTCCTTTCCAATCACTGCCCACACATCCAGACTCCGCCTCTCCCCCTTCCTCTCCAAACCCCGCCCTCCCTGCTCAAACCCAGACCCCCACAAGCCCCGCCCCTAATTTGCGTCGAGACTCCAGAATTGAGGCTCCCCATTCGGCCCTCTTCTACTTGTCCTGCCTTTTCCTGGTCTAAGACCACCTTTCCCCGAGTCCAGGCCCAGCCTGGGTACAGACCGAGACAAGAGGCTCCGCGGGGTCCGGGCCGGTAGCCGGGGGCACAAGTACAGGCAAAGGAGCCGTCGGTGTTGAGGCACTCGCCGTGGGGGAAGCAAAAGTCGCCCTCAAGGCATTCATTCACGTCTAGGGGACGCGAGAGATGGAGATGGCAGTCAGCAGACCCGCCCCCGAGACCCAAGTCCCGCCCACAAAGCGGCAACCTTGCCGCCAAGCCGCAACCCAGGCGGTGGGTTTCTAAGCTCCACCCACAGCTTCTCAGTCCACCTTCCACCTCCCCAACCGCTTCGCCCAGGAACCCATGCCCATCTCACAGGCTCTTGGGCCCTTGCCCCATCCTGCCCACCTGCACAGGGCCCAGGCCGGCCAGGTGGTGCCCGGTAGCCAGGCGCGCAGGTGCAGTGAAACGAGCCTTCGGTGTTAGTGCAGTGGCCATGGGGGCCGCAGGAGGCGCCCGAACTGCATTCGTCCACGTCTGTGGGAATGGGGGTTTCAGAAGAAGTCCGGTCTAGAGACACACCGGTCGGATTCTCTTGGGACAAAGGGTTGGAGGAGGTGATGGGAAGTGTCTTGGTTGGATATGAGGTGAAGGTTCCATGGCAGAAGTAGGCTGGGGAGACCAGGGTTCTCTGATTCTGGGGACCATGGTTGGGGTTCCTGTGAGTAAGAGAACTCCCTGTGCCAGGATCCTGGAGTTAGGTGAAGGGACTCTGACTGGTACAGGGGTCAAAAATTAATTAGGGTAAGGGCTCAGGTATTGTAAGCCAGGATCATTGTATGTCATTATGATGAGCCAGGGGTCAAAATCAGTGACTGGAATCAGACCAATTAGGGTCAGGGGTTATAGTCAGGGTCCAGAATTCTGCCTCTAGTCAGGGGTCGGGGCCAGGGATCATGAACCCATTCAGGCCCCAGGGAAGGGACTCTAAGAAGAAAGAGGGGCAGTGAAAGAGACAGGATCAAAAGTTACACAGAGTCAGTGGTCGTGGTCAGGGTTATGGTCAGGAGTTATAGTTAGGTCAAATGTCACAGTCAAGTTCAGGGGTCACAGGTCACATACAGGGACAGGGACAAGGCAGGGTCAGGAGGTTCACACTTGCTATAGAGTTGTGGTAAGGGGTTATTAGCAAGGATCATGATTAGGATCAAATTTCAAGTTGAAGGTTCAGAGTAAAGAAGTCACATTCAGCCCTGGCTGGTTTGGCTCAGCGGTTAGAGCGTCGGCCTGTGGTCTGGAGAGGCCTGGGTTCGATTCCCGCTAAGGGCACGTACCTCGGTTGCAGTTTGTCTCTGGCCCTGGTTGGGTCGTGTGGGTGGTGACCACTCGATGTGTCCCTTTCACATCGATGTTTCTCTCTCTCTCTCTTTCTCTCTCTCCCTCCCGCTCTATCTGAATAAAAAAATGGAAAAATGTCCTCGAGTGAGGACAAAAAACCAAATTTAATAAAAAAAGAAGAAGAAGAAGAAAAAGAAGAAGAAGTCACATTCAGGGTCAAGGCTTGTGGTTCAGGTCAGGAACTGCGGTCAGAGGTGCAGTCTATGTTAAAAATCACAGTCACGCTCTGGGGGTTGTGGTTCAGGTAAGAGAACTGAGATCCAGGTTAGGAGGTTATGGACCAAGTCTGGGTTGTAGTCCAGGACAGGGGCCCCCATCTAGCTCAGAAGTCATAATGCAGAACCAAGGTCACAACCAGAGCCTGATCTCACCAGTACATTGACCACGGTGCAGGTGGTAGCCAGCAGAACAAGCCCTGCACTGGAAGGAGCCAGGTGAGTTTACACACTCCTGCCCAGGACACGCCAGGTGGTTCTCACACTCATCCACATCTGAAGGGCAGGGGAGGGTATGGCCTTGAAGGAGTGGTCCAACGGCCCACTCACCCACCTACAGTCCTCCCTCTCTCCCCGGCCTCACCCTCGCACTTGGAGCCAGCAGAGTTGGGTTGAAAGCCCGTTGGACAGACACACTTGAAGCTGCCTTCTGTGTTCTCACACCGGCCATAGGCGCAGGGTGGGGGGCTACGGGCACATTCATCCACATCTGGGGCAGAGGGGATCAATGGGGCTGAGGAAGGGGTCTGGACCCATGCCCATTGCCATCACCGCCCACCTCAGCATTCCAATCTGGAAGCAGCCTCCTGGACTATGCCCAGGCTGCTCCCTCCTTTCTTGTTTCCCCATTAATGGTTCCTCCACAGCGGCCAGGGTGAGACCTGGACACCACCTCCTGCATGTGGCCTTCCTGCCTTAGAGCTGTCCCCTCCTCAGGGGTCCCACAATCAAGAGTATCAGCCAAAAAGGGAGGTAAAATGGACAACGCTTTCATATTTGGAGAAAGGGGAGAAGACTCTGGAGTCAGATCCTCTCCATCCTCTCAGTCTCCCCCACCTTTCTGCCCCTGTTCTCCACCACTGAGCTCCATCACCCTCTCTGCCCCTCAGTCCACGTCTTTCTCCAGTCCCCACAGCAAATGGGGGTGGAGTGCACATGGACTCAGCACCCTCACCTTGGCAGGGGGCCCCTGGCCCTCGGGATCGGAAGCCAGCAGGGCATGCGCAGTGGTAGGAGCCTGCCGTGTTGTCACAGCGGCCTGGCCCACAGGGTGGTGGCTCCTGGGCACACTCATCCACATCCTCTTCACACGCTGCGCCCCGGAAGCCAGCTGGGCAAACACAGCGGAAAGAGCCGGGCAGGTTCTCACAGGCCCCTCGGCCACAGAAGCCTGGGTTCTGGATGCATTCATCCACATCTGCGGAGGGCAAGGGACCCGTGTCATACTCCCTTTATGCCCCTCAAGCTACACCCTGCCTCCCTGACCTCCACTGCTTTGACGTTGTATCTTCTACCATGCTGTCCCCATCACTCTGCACTCCATCCTCCATCACTTTCTCCTTGTCACCATCATTCAGCCACCCTATCTTTCATCATTCTAACTCCCCATCCTCCGTCCCTCTATCTTTTCCATCTCTATTATAAGCGGCCTGTCTGCCTCCTAGAATTCTGCTTTACTAGTCCCCACCAGTGTGGGCCTCTTTCCACTCTGTCCCCCATAACTGACCCATTCTCCATGATTCAGTCGTTCTGTTTCCCAACATTTGGCCTCTCTATCCCCATGTCGCTGTCTCTACAGCCATTAGGTTGCATGTCTGGTTCTCAAAACCTGGCTTCTGTCTCCCATCGGTTAGCTTCATTGCTCAGTCTCTGCATTCCTCATCACTGCCGCTCTGCCCCTTCCAGTCCCTCACCCTGGCAGCCTGCTCCGTGGGGCGCAGCCTGGTACCCAGCAGGGCACACGCACAGGAAGCTGCCTGGTGTGTTTTCGCAGTGCCCCCGGTCACAGGGCGGCGGCACGCGGCGGCACTCGTCCACGTCTGCGGGCACAAACCAGGCGGCTGAAACTGGGGCACCCTCCCCCCGCAGTCTTGGGGAGGTGGGGAGCGCAGAGGTAGAGCCAAGCTTAAACAGGAGCCAGGATGGGCGGGAAATGGGCGGTAGGGAGGGGTTTGAGTAGTAGATTTAGGACGAAGGCGGGGCTTGAGTGTCGAGGGCAGGACAAGGTCTGGGGACCCCACTAGGGCAGAGGCCGAGAGGTGAACCTTGTGGGGGGCAATGTGTGAAGAACAGAGCCTGGGGCAGGGCAAAGGAAGTAAGGACAGTTTTGGGAACGGAGCAAAGGTGACAGGAGAGAGGGAACGGGCGATCTTGGGACGGGGCACTGGTGTCGCAGGGTGGAAATCAGGAGTCGAGGTCAACAGATAGGTTTGGGCAGTTGTAGGACAGGGTCGGGGCCGGGCCGGCGGGAGCTAGTCTGGCACATGGAAGGGGCGGGGCCAAGGGCTGGCGGAGCCCGACCTGATCCGAGAGAAAGGTTGAGCAATAGTAGAGCAGGGACCCGCCCGGTACCAGGAGGGCCAGCTGGACCGGGAAGAGGCAGTGGAGCGGCCAAAGGGAGAGCTAGGGCTAGTCTGGGGCCGGGGCGGGGCCGGGGCCAGGGCGGCGGTTGTAGGCCCGAAGGGGCTTGGGGAAGCGTGAGAGGGCGGGTACTGCTCTGGAGGCGAGATCCGTGCAGAGGCGAGGCCTGGAGTCGGGAGGGGCAGACATCTCACCCAGGCACTCCGTAGCCCGCGGGCTGGCTCGGAAGCCTAGGCCGCACACGCAACGGAAGCTGCCTGGCGTGTTTTCACAGCGCCCGGGCGCACAGGGTGGGGGCACGCGGCGACATTCGTCCAAGTCTGAGGGCACGGAGGGGGTTGGTCAGGAGGGCCCCCCCGCACAGTCCCTCGCCCCACCTCCCTGCACCCACTCTGTCTTGCTCACCGATGCAGTGTGTGCCCTGTGGGCTGAGCCGGAAACCGGAATCACAGGCGCAAGTGTAGCCACTGGGCCGTGGGATGCAGCGTCCCGGGCCGCAGACCTGGGGATTGCGCTGACACATGCCCGTGGAAGGACCTGGGGGGTCCAGTCAGCCAGGGTTCCCCCATCTCTGAATCCTCTGTCTCATTCATCCCAGTACAATCCCCTCAGATCCTCTGCCTAAAACACCTTCATGGATGTCCTTCCCCAAGCCCAGTCTTCCACCTGTGATCATCTCTTTTATCATGGGACATTCTCATCAGGTCCTCTCCCTGAATTTCCCCTATAATACCACCCTAAACCCTCCATCTAAAAACTATTTTGCTCTTCAATTCTCTGCCTCAGACACATTCTTAGTGCCCTCATGAAAATAATTATTTGTCTAACATTAACTGAGCACTTACTATGTGCCAGAAATTCAGACAACTCATTGAATCCTCACGATGATTCCTATTTTACAGATGAGGAAACTGAGGCTCAAAGACTTGTTCAATTAACAGAGGACTTGAAGCCAGGCCTGTCCCACGACAGCTCCTAAAGTAACCACCACCCAACTCTCTATACCTTTATCTCTTCCCATCCTCCTTAATTCCTCTGGCTGTGACATCCCTGTTTGTTCTATCCTTGAAACCTCCTTCTGAGACCCCCCACCTGTAATACCCCCATCAATACCCTGGATTCCCTCTACCGAACCTGATTCGGGGACCTCAGGACCAGTCCAGGCTGGGATGCTGGGTGGGGGAAGCTCAGGGCCTGGCCGGGGCTCAGGCCGAGGTTCTGGGCGATGGGTGGGCAGAAAGCCTGGTAAAGAAAGGCTATCATTGAGTGGAGACCTGGAGTTGGGTGTCCCCACTCCTCTCTCTTCCTTTCCCTCTGGGGCTGAGTCAGCCCCTTAGAGACAACACCCCCTCCTCCAGAAGCCAGCTCACCTGTGGGTGACCGAGGGGTGGAAGGTGGGGCACGGGGCTGGCTGAGAGACACTCGGGGTGGCTCCTGGCTCAGGGGTCTGGTGTTGTAACGGAGGTCAGAGGCTGAGTAGTGGTAGCCAGGGCCAGCAGGGCAGATCTCCCGAAAACCCTCTGGGAACAGAAAAGGAAGGGTGAGGGACAGAGAGAGGGAGAGAGAGGGAGAGAGAGAGAGAGAGAGAGAGAGAGAGAGAGAGAGACTAGAGTCTGGCTTTGGCTGGGGATGAGGACTGGCCTGGGAGTGTGTCAGGGTTTTGGATTAGATGCTGGGAAGGGGTGGTACCCTGGCCAAAGAATGGGATGTCTCAGAGGCCAAGTGTGGAACCAAGGATGGTTTTCCCTATTTGGGATAGTGGAGGGGTCTGGTTTGGGGTCTACAGAGACTAGGATGAAGGCCAGGAAACAGTCAGGTCCCTTGTGGGGTCTGGTTTTAGATTTCCAGGGGAAGTGCCTCAGGGAGGGGCATTTCTGAGACCAGGCCCAAAGTGGAGCCTAGGCTGAAGGCAATGTCTCAGGAGCTGGGGACTGGGCTAAAGCAATGGGGACAGGATTGGACAAGCAGCATATCTCAAAAGCTATGAGTGACCAAGGCTGGAGGTGACGCTCAGAGGACACAGCCTAACTTTAAGGTAGTGTGTCTCAGGGGTAGGTGTGGCAAAGGATGGATGTAGCCTGGGGCAGAGTTCAGTCTGAGGACAGCTAGTCTTAGAGGTTGGGGTGGTGACCAAGACTAGGGACCAACCAGGTTTGAGGGCTGTGAGCCTCAGTGCCTAGGGGTGGAGTCTGGGGCAGGGCCTAGAGTGGGCACTGTGTGCGTCAAGTCTAGGGGTAGGCCCAGCAGAAACCACTCACCTGAGCCGAAGGGTGGGCAGAGCTGGCAGCCCCGACCCCAGGCTTTGCCCACACGGCTACAGCAGCAGATCTGTTTGGTTATGTTGCGCAGAATGGGCAGCGAGCAGCCCCCATCGCGGAGCACGCGGAAGCAGGGCCCCTTGGCCTCTGAGATCACATGTTGGGCTGCGGGTGGGAGAGGAAATTTTTCAGAGAGTTTGGGAGGTAGGGGATCTGAGAGGTAGGGCACCCAGGGAGGGCTTGGTGGGTTCCAAGGACTTTCTGGAGAGATCTGAAAGAGCCTGAGGCAGAGATGAGAGGTCTGAAAAAGGTTTGGGGCCTGAGGAGAGTCTGAGGGGTGACAGAGACAATCTGAAAAGGATCTCAGGGTCTGAAGAAGGTCTGGTGGGGGAAGGTAAAGGGATTTGGGGGGCTGAGAGGAGCTGAAGAAAGTCTGGGGATCTAAAGGGATCTGGAGGCAAAAGGCTTGAGGGCTTCTTAGAAATGGCTGAAGTAGGTCCAGGGAGTCTGAGAGGGATCTAATAAGAGACCTAGGAGTCTTGGGAGATCTAGGGGTATCTACAGAAATTAAAGGTCAGGGATGTTCTGGGATGAGGTCTGAGGGCACAGCAGGACATGGGACCCAGCCTCAGCCCCCTCCTGGTGGCTCACAGATGCAGCTGCTGCGGGATGAGTCCAGCAGGAAGCCATCAGGGCACACGCACGTGTACCCACCATGCGTGTTCGCACACTCCCCGTGCTGGCAGCGCCCACCAGTGGTGCATTCATCCACATCTGCGAGGAGGGACAGGGTGGCCCCAGTGGTGTCAGGGAAGACCTCCCTGCTGCCCTGGCCCTAGAGCCAAGCCTCTCCCACCCCGGTCCCAGCTCACCTTCGCAAGACCCATTAACCCTTTCAAAGCCAGTTGGACACGGACCATCTGGAGCTCCCACTCGGTGGGAGTTCCCTGTAGAGAGAGGAGGGGGTGGGCTAGGGGCAAGAGGATCTAGAATGGAGTGGACAGGGACGAAAGTGGGGTGGAAGGCAGTAAAAGGTGCTAGGTGTTGTCTGAGTTCAGTTGGTGGTCAGACAAAAGGCAATGTGGGAGGTTTCAGAAATGCCTGACTGGGCCCCCTGACTGGGCCCATGGTACAAAGGCAGGGTGAGAACAGAGTAGCCCAAGTCAGGAAGTGGGATGGATGGTCACAGAACATATGGATAGGTCTAGACTGGAAGTGATCCCAACTGGGTAGGCATGGCTAATGTGAGAACAGGGTTTATAGATGGGCAGAGTGCCAGGAACAGTAGGGTTCTCACCCCTCCCCAGCTCTGAGCACCTCAGGGATGTCCTGGGGCTTACCCAGGTGCTCCGAGCATGACTGACAGTCGTGAACGCCCCAGGCCACGCCGGCCCCTCTGCAACAGACTTCCTGCGTCCGGAGCCCCGGCAGCGGGGACGCGCACTGTGGGGAAGTGTTGGGTGAGCGCGCCCGAGCGTGGTGGCACGCTTGGGGCCCCTCCCCACCAGCCTCCTCTCACTTCACTTCCGCGTAGCTCCCGAAAGCAGTAACCGAAGCCGGAGGCGTCTGAGTAGCTGTCCTCGCGGGGAGCGTTCTGTGCCAGCACCGTGTAGGGTGCTGCTGCCTCCGCCCGCGCTGCTGCCTCAGCCCGCGCCACTGCCTCGGCGCCCGCCACCTCCCAAGGGCCAGACACACGCTCCACCTGGTGCACCACCACGGACGCCTCCTGCGGGTGCTCCACGTGGACGCTCACCATAGACGCCACTCCTGGAGGGAGGCACCGCGGGGCAAATGGGTGTCCACCTGGGTTCTTAAGGAGTGGGGCTAGGAATGGGTGGAAGGGCCGCACTGGAGAAGGGTACTCGGGGGAAGGCAGGAAAGATGGGGGTCAGAGGAGTGGCTAAGGTGGTGGACAGAGGGGTAGGAGAGGACCCCGGCGGCACTTCTCACCGTGCTCATCATCGCGGTGGTTGGCCAGTGGCATGGTGTACACCGAGCGGGTGAGGCCTGGCATGGCTGGGGCCGGGGGCCGGGCGCCGGAAGAATGCAACTGGCAGAACTTGCCAGCGAAGTCCGGGGGACAGAGGCAGCGGTCGGGCTTCATGCACACACCACCGTTGTGACAGATCAAGGGACACAGGACTGGGGGGAGAGCAAAGACAACTCAGAGTCAGCAACCCTTCTGGCAGGCATCTCTGGGGCGAGCACACCCAAACTAGCTTAGTCCCTAACATTATAACTACACCCTCAAAGGTACCACTCGGTGCGAAGCCGCTACGCCGTGAGCTGTTTTGCGTCACCTCCCCCAATCTTTGGCCGCCTGCACTGCTGGGTCCAGTTGTCCAGACCTCTGTGGTGTAGCTTCCCCCACTGGGTTGGCGTCCCGCGCACACCGGCTCTTCTTTCACTCTCCTGTTATCCCACCTTTCCTCTCCAGTCTCACTTTCCGACCGAGGCCTCGGAGTACCAGCCCCGCCCACTCTAGCTTTCCGTACACATTTACTTATTTATTTTAAAATTAAGTTGATTGGGGTGACATTGGTTAATAAGATCATATAGATTTCAAGTATACATTTCTATGATATATGGTTTGTGTAGTGCATTCTGTGCTCACCACCCAAAGGCCAATCATCTTCCGTGACCATTTGGCCCCGCCCATCTCATCTTCTGGCTGCGAGTTTTGCTGTTCCAGCCCCTAAGACCCAGCAAGTCTCTAGCCTTGACTAAAGACTAAAACCACATTTTAGTCACTCCCTTGCACCACGCCCCCTTTGCAGTCCCGCCCACATCACCTTCTACCCTCGGGATTGTAACGCCGCCTTTCAAGTTGTCCAACTCGCTCTTTGGCTCCGCCCACCTCCTTACGCAGATCTGCACGAGTTTACTAATTCATGCCCCTCCCACCATCCCACCTCCCGGCTATCTGGGCGTCCTAGCTCCGCCCACCGCACTATGTCTCCGCCCACCTCCCCTTTGGCTCAGGCTCCCGAGTTCTAGCTCTGCCTTCCCGCCTCCAGTATCCCCGGGGCGGGGCCACCAGTGGGAACGCGCCTTCTCTGCGCGCACTCGCTGGGCCCCGGGCCACCTCTGGGTGGGGCACTGCCAGCTGTGCGGTGCGGTAAACAAAGGGAGGGGTGCGGGAAGGGGGGAGGGCGGTGGCTCCGCATTCCGGATCCTTGGGGAGCCCCGGGGCTGCTGAGCCAAAGAAGGCCGGACATATGCTTCGAGGGCACCCCCTCCCTTTCTCCCCAGGGGCGACCGAGAACAGCTGGAGACAGCTGTGTGGATAGGAGGAAGGGAGCTGGCGGCCAGGGCCGTCCAGGAAGGCGTGTGTGGTATTCTGAGCCACACACTGGAGAGAGGAAAGCATAGAGAGCCTCCTCAATTTAAAGGGTAGAGACTGGACTCCTGGGAGGAGATCAGCTAGAGGACAGTACTCTGGGGTTCAAAGACAGCTCAAGTTTTCTGGAATGGAAAGGGACCAAGACTAGCTCAGAAGAACTGAGGCACCCATTCAATAGGAATCCATTAAATCCATTTGGAAAGAATTACCTAGAAAAGAGGACTCTAGTGCCTTCTAGAGGATAGCCAGTTTGAGGGTGCTGAGAACAATGTTAGAAGAAGTGGGATTCCTGGGATTTCCCAACACATGAGAGCCTCAATAGTCTGAGAAGACTCTAAAGTACTGTGGAATCCCTCTTTCCCTCCCAACTAAGGGATTAGGTGTCCAAGTCTGTTGTTTATTGGCTGCTTGGGGAGAGCACAGTGTCTGGAGTCCTCTTGGGAGAATCAGTTCATCCAGACCAACTCTGGGGTTCTCTGAAGATAGATGGGTCAGAAGTTCCTGGGGAGAGGGTCAGTTGGAAGAGAGGGACTTGGAAAGACAGGAATTAGGACTCTCTGATGGGACTCAGTAGGAAATATATGAAAATGGTAGTCTTTTCTGGGAAGAGAATTCGGCTAGGAAGTGCGGGTTAGCAGTGTATAGGGTTTGTAACCTGTGGCTTTTCTGGAAAGTGGGGAACAGTAGCTGAGAGAAAATACTACCACAGAATTCTCTGGCGAGGGGCACAGTTTGGGTGATTACATCAGAAGAATGGGAGGGAGAAAACTTCACTGGAATGGCTGTTCTCTAGAGTCTGTTGATGAGGGTACAGAGAGAACTTAAGGTCTGAGGGTAGAGACTCTGGACTCCCTTAGTTAGGGGAGCCAGGCCAAGACTCCAGGGTGCTCTAATAGGGTCCTTAAGTGAGTGACAGGCCTAGGAGAAGCTTAACTAGGAATCAAGATGCCAAAATAGGAAAGGTCTCTGCTGGGGGTTGTGGTAATCAAGCTGCGGGGAGGGGGGAGGGCATTCCCCAGCCTCCAAGAGCATTTCTCCACTTTCTCTTGGCCTAAAATCAGGTCCCCAGCCCAGCTCCCTGAGGGCTCCCATGCCAGGACAAGCTGCTAGATGGGTATGGCCAACTCCATGCCCCACGCCCTTGGAGAAGTGAGGAGCTGAGGACATCGGGGGTCCTGCCGAGGTCAGCCTCCTTTCACATGCCCCTCCTTGTGCCTCCAGGGGCTTGGCACCCGCCTGGGCACGGCGCCTGGCACGGGCGTGTTAGGGTTGGGCTGGGAGGGAGTGAAGGAAGGAGGGAGAAAGGGGAGGAGAGAAGGAGTGGCAGCAGGCGGGGGCTCAGGCGGGAGCTCAGGCGGGAGATGAGCTCACGCCGCCAGGGCTGGGTTGGCAGGGGGCCAGGCAGGGCGAGTTCTAGGCGCCAGGGGCCCCCACTCCCCACTCCAGAGGGCCTCTTGGGTTGGGGGCAGGTAGGCCCCAACCCCTAGAGCCAGCCCATCCCTGCACCCTGGGGCAAACAGGTGGCCCGTTCTCCCCACCTCACCTGAACCCTCAGGGGCTCCCCATCTCTAGGGGTGCCTGGTGTACACCCTCCTCCTGTTCCCTCTGTCCCCAGCAGGCACCCCATCCCCTAGGCCTCTTATCTGGATTTCTCTCCCACATGTGACCCTTGCAACTCAGGGTCCTGCAGAAACTTTTTCTATGGACCCTTTCCCTCTCAGCTCTCCGGATCCACTTTCTTCACCCCAATCCCCCTCCACAGAGGCATTCCCATCCTGGACTTTTCTAATCCCTCTCACTCACAGACGCAGACACTGGGACCTCTCACCCCAGGCCCTGAAACTCTCCTTTGGTCTTCAGGAACCTATTACAGTCACAGTTCAGGCCCCCTTTCCTCAAGCTCCTGGGGTCCCCAATTCTGGTAGCCCTAACTTTGACTCAAAGGTTCGAAAGTCGGCCCAATCCCCTCACCTGGGACACCACGGATCCCTGAGAACCCCCATTGCTTGAAAAATCAGGGCCCTCAGGACCCAACCCCAAAAGCCAGGAATTTGAAGCTCCTTTCCTTAAGTAACCAGGGATCCCCCAGCACAGGGAATCTGGGCTCCCTCTCCCTGAGGGACTGTCTACCCCATCCCCAGGGGTTCCTCCTCCCCCTGGGAACCCCTCCCTCGGGACCACCACCCCGCACTCACAGGCGCGGAAGCCGGGTCCCCCCGGGGCCGCCCCGCCGGGCGCGCCGCTGTCCACGCTGGTGGTGTTGCGGGGCGCGCAGATCGGGGTACAGCGAGGGCCGGTGGGCCCATGGACGCAGCGCAGGCTGCACACCGCTGGGGTAAAGCGCACGCGGAGGCGCTCTCGCGTCTGGCTCTGTCCCGGCTGCGGCCCGAGCAGCGCTAGCAGCACCAATAGCGACACCCAGAGCAGCCGCGCGCCGCCCGCCATGGCTGCAGCGCCGCGCTCGGCCGCGCCGCCGCCCCAGCCCGCCCGAGGGGCCCGGCCGCGCCCGCCCGCCCGCGGGGGAGGACGGCCGCGCCCCCGCTCAGGCCCCCCCCTCCCCACCACTCCCTCCCCGGCGGCCGCGCGGGGGCGCGTGGGGCTGGGCGCGCAGCCAGAGGCGCGCAGGCTGGGCGCTAGACTCGCAGGGGAAGGGGGGTGCCCCCTTTGTCCCCCCCTCGCACCAACAAGTGAATGGGGCCCGCACGGGAGCAGCGAGGAAGGGAACAGGTGGGGGCGGGCCCATTTCCCCCCAGACAAGGCTGAATCCATAAAGAGGAAGGAGAAGTGGGGGCCGCATTTGGGGAGGCGGCTAAGGGCTGATTCTCTGCCCTAGGTAGAGAGAAGGGGGCTTCATATGGATAGGGGGCTGTCATGGCACATCTGGGCAGCCAGGTGGCATATCTGGGGGAGAGAAAGGTCAGTGCACCTGGGCACATGAAGGAATTGGGGGTCTGGATGGTAGACAGGACGCTGGGCAGGGGGGAACTTTGAGGATGCACTCACATCTGGCCGGAACCCCCCACACCTGGTAGGAGAAGTCAGAATGGACTGAGGCTGTGGGCGGGGGTCCTTACATCTGGCCAGAGGCCCACATCTGGAAGACTTTAGGGAGGAGGGGACACATCTGGGCTGAAGGCCACAGCAGGAGGGGTACTTTTGAGGGTGGTTAAAACTAGGGGGTGTGCTTGCCCAGGGGCAGAGCTGGAGGGAGAGGAGAGCAAGGGAAGCAAGGGGAGGCCTTTGGCCTCTAGCCGCCCGGCAATTTTCGGCATTCAGTGACCGGGCAGGCGCCAACCCGCACAATCGCTTTTGTTGTCTGGGCTAGTTCGGCTGCGCTCGCTGCCGGGACAGCACCCCCCTCTTTGGCCGCCGGGAGCCCGGACGCCTGGCTTCCCGGCCCCACCCCCGCAGGTCAGCGCCTCTGGCCGGCATCTGGTCCTGTCCTGGGCTCACCTCTGGAGGGCGGACACCGGGGTCCCTAGAGGGGGCCGTGCCCTGGGGTGGGGTGCTGAGCTACAATGGGGGGCAGCTAGGCCGCGGCTGGACCGTGGGAACCAGACGGCTTTATCTGGCCCGGAACCCCCCCTCCCCCCCGCCCCTTGGCGGCAGAGGAAAGGCGGATGTTCTTACCCCGGGCCTGGCCGGCAGGGGCGCGCTGTGGGGGCCTCCTCCTCAGCAGTGCCCGGCCCCCCGGCCCGCGGGGCCGCCGTCGCCTCAGCAGAGCTCGGGCCTCCTGCAGCCTGGGTGGGAGGGGGCAAAGAAGGAGCTGTCACCGCGGTTAGGCAGACACCCCGCCCCGCCCCGCCCCCAGCTGGAAGGGGCTTTCCAGCCAGGAGGTCTTCCAGTATCGGCTCTGCCCACCCCTCTACCCCCCACCCCACTACAGGGACCAGGCCTTGAGCGTTCTTTAGAGGCTTGGCGAGAAACAAAGACGGTGGGAGAAACAGATGAGGAAAGGGGGAAGAGAAAGGGGAGAGACACAGAAGAAAAAAGACAGGTAACACAGAGAAACAGAAAGAGACACACGGAAAGAACAAATACAGAGAGAGGGACATGGAGACGGAGACAGCGAGATAGACTGAAAGGCTCAGAGACTGTGATAGGCAGGAAAAGGAGAAATAGAAACATACAAGTGGATAGTCAGAGGAAAGAGAGAGAACAAATGAGAGGAGATGCAGAGAACAGAAAGATGTGCCAGGAATGGTGGTAGGGGAGAGACTGTACACTCACGTCAGTGGCTGCCAATTAAGGGACACCTGTTTCTTCCTCATGTTGGGGCTGGGGCTGGGGCTCGGCATCACAGGGGGCACTGGTGTCAGGCACCGCTGAGGGCCTGCACACTTTTCAGGCGGGCAGCTCTGAACCCTGCAGGAGGCTTCAGAGACAGCCAGGGACTAAGTGAAAAGGACCAGACCAAGTCCCTGTTTCCATCAAGTGCATCCAGATCTCCAACCGGGATGAGGGGTTGGGGAGGAGCCCTGAGCCCCTCTGCTCTTACTCCGTTTCATCCCCTACCTATACCCCATTGAGGAGAACCCACCTCTGAAGCAGCGGCTCCTTCTGGGTGATCGGGCTGGGCAGCAGCGACAAACAGCAACACTATAAACAGAGGAGTGGAAATCACTCAGGTCCCTAGGTTTCTACAACTCAAAGGAGTGCAATGAGGATAGGGGAGGAAAAGCCAAGATAAGGCTTGAGGGTGCTGGAAATAGCGTGTGGCCAATCTGAGGCACTGCACTCAATGCCTCAGTTTCCCTATGTATACAGTGGGAGGCGATTTGGCTTAGCTTCTCCAAGGATGAAGGTCACAGCAACCTTTTTTTTTACTTGTCTTCTGAAGTGGTTGGAGGTAAAGCCTTATTGGAAAAGACATATTAAAGTATTTTTTAAAGGGCTAAAAAGTTTAAGAAGATTCAAAGAGGATTTCTAAGCGCATTTCCCAGACCCGACTGTCTGGGAATCTAGAACCCTGCCCTCCCAGCACATCCCTTTCCTGGACTCAGGCGTCATTCCGCGCATGGCCGGCAGGTAGCACCACTTCCACAGGCCTCAGCTGCTAGGAAGGAAGGTCCTCCTTCGACTGAGGGTCCAGTAGGGTGCTGAGGTGGAGGGAGATACAGAAGGAGCCACAGCCCAGGACTGAAAATTCCGAGGCCTGAGTTTTAGCCCATTCCTGCCCTTGCAAGCTCGTGTATCCCGGAGCCAGCGTCTCCTGGTCTTTGGGTCTCGATTTCCCGCCTGACCAGGAGGAAAGAGTTGTTCTTGAAATCTCTGCGCCCAGGGGTCTCAGATTCTGGTTAGCTGAGCCCTCAGCTCAGACGCAAGTGCGTCGCAACCAAGGGGCCCCCCAGACAAATCCATTATCGCCAGGCTAAGGGGGACGAGGAAAGAGGGAGTGTGCGTCGGCCCCGAGAGAAGGGCAGTGGGGGGATGCTGCGAAAGGGACGTCGGTTGCGTGGACTATTTCCAGACGGTAGGGGTCCAGTGGGGAAGGAAGCTGCCGGGTGGGAACCTCCAGGACCCCCGATCTTGCCGTCATCCCTCCCACCTTTTTTCCGGGTTAACCCCTTCCCGGCCCCGCCCCCGGCGCGGCTCGGGTTACTAAACGTATTCGCAGAGACCGAGGCGGGAGCGAAGCCCGGGGCCTTTGTAACGGAGTGCTGGTCTGCAGGGCGGGGGGTGGGGGTGCTGGGCAGACTATTTCCTTAGATCTCGTCACCGTAGACAGGAAGGGTGGCTACAACCCCCAAATCTATAGGAAATTCTGGGTCTCTTGCTGAAAAATCACTGGTACCTCATTCAAGCCTGAAATCCTCTAATTCTAGGACAACTAGAGCATCTCCAACCCTCCTGAAACCTGAGGATCACCCCCGCCAGCACAATTCCCCGAAAGCCTTTCCGCCATCAACCCAAAAGTCCACGTCTCTCTCATTAGGAAAATTCAAGTGTCCCCTTTAATTAATCCAGGTGCCCCCAAGAAAACCAGGACATCTTAATTCCCTCACAAATCCCTTCATAACCTCCCATACTCTTCCTTCTTAAGCACCCAAGAAACTTGGCGAACCCAACCCCAGTTCGAGGGCCCCACCCATCTATCATCCTAGGAGAACTCAGAGCCCCACTCTCATATAAACTGGGACCCTTCTCCGAAAAAAAAAAAACAAAAACCTAAAATTTCCTGGAGCCACATCTATCTCTACCACACACATCAAAAGGGAATCACTCCCGTCAAAACCTCAGTTCTCCCCGCTTCTAACCCTTACAAAATAGAGTGCCCTAATAAATCCAAGTGCTCTGTGTCTCTCATCCCCATCCCGAAGCAGTGGGTTCGATTCCCCCTATATCAGAAAATCCTTAGCCTCCCGGACAACCACATTTATTGCGTGGAGGGGGCATAAGGAAGAGGGGGCTGCAGCGGGGCTTACCCGGCCGGGCGGCCCGGGATCACCGCAGCCTCGACGGCTTGGCCGGGGCTGGGGCTGGGGCTGGGGATGGCGGCGGAGGTAGCGGCTGCGAGGAGCGGCAGCAGCAGCACCAGCGGGAGGGGGCGGCGGCCGCTGGGGCCAGGCCGCCACATCGTGTCCCGCGTGGAGTACCGCTCCAGGCCGGCCGTCTGTCCAGAGGGTCCGGCTCGGCGCCGCCCAGCCCCACGACCCCGCCCGAGGCCAACTCATTTTCTCCACTGTTCCAGTCGCGGGCTGCAAACTTCTCGCCAATCAGAGCCCGGTGCCGCCAGGGGCGCTGCCCGAGCGGCCAATCGGAAGGCGGAAGGGGCGGGGCTAGAGGGACAGGTGTTGGGCGGGGGGCGCTGGGCCTGCCTGGCGTTCTTAGTGCTGTGGAGGGAAATCTGGAGTCGGTTACTGACTTAGTGAACCCTCTAGTGAAGGAGAGGGGCAAGAGTGAAGGTGTTGTGACCCCTCCCACGACTAGGAGGGATGTGTAGGCGGTGGGCAGGGTCTCCTAAACTAGACTCCCACTTGAAGGCCTCATCCCTCAACTCGCAGTTATGGGAGAATTCGATCAGAATTTGTTCCCTGACTGGTGTAGATGCTGGAAGCTCCCACAGATGTCCACTTCTCACGCGAGAGACTCAGGATTCTGGGGAGGGGGCATCCCAGGTCCTGCCCTTGTGAGGATTCCAGGTCCACTCTGGACCTTCTCAAAGGATTCGCCTTTTCTACAGGCCCTGTGCTTTAGGAGTTCCAGGCTCAACGAGCAATAGCTTGGTTCTTCAGAAGCCTGTAGTCTCTGCCCCTCGGAGGACCCAGACTCTGCTCCAGATCCACAGACTCCACTCCCAGAGCTCCTGGCTCTGCTCTCCTCCTTGAACCTCTCTCCACTGGCCACCCTAGAGGGTACCAGCCCCCTTTCCCTGCCTGAATCCTGAGACTCCCAAGAACACCCAGAATTGCAGACTCTCCCTAGAGAATTTCAGTCCCCTCCCTTCCTAGGGACC